AGTTTCAAGGACGGTCAGGCCTCTGCTATATCATATTATTTGGTGGGAGTGCCGATGAAGCAAACGTATGCTTGCTATAGCAATCGACAACGTTACTTATATTCGTAAGTAAGTAGGGTCTCGAGACTACCAGTAAATCAGTGTAATGAGATTAATTGAAGGCTTATAGGCAGCCAGTCAGTTATTTTAATGTGTAGCAGCGATTAATTGACAAACGGTGTGGAAGAGGGGCTGAATCAAACTCAGAAGCCCTTCAAACGACATCTGGAACCGGTGGTGAGGATGATTATACCTCACTAAATCCACTTATAGCGACACATTCTTAGGCCACATTGGAGGAAACGAGGGCACAGAATTGTCTGAATAGGTAAATGGGTCATAAGAAGTGGGGTTAAGAAGAGGAGATGCGGCACTAAAAGATAGGACAAAAATAGGGGGAAGGAGTGATGTCACAACGGTTGAACATAAAATTGGTCACTTATTTCACTTGTCACTGATAAATTGCAACTCTGTGCTGAGAATGGGGCCTTTCATTGACGATGCCGGTGAACCGCTTGGAATGTACTAAGTCCACGGTCCGACTCTAAACTATCCTGCATACTATGCACTCTAGATAGAGTGCGTTCCTCTAGGTCTTCCTGCCAATATGGCCAGCTTGTGAGAACAAGATCGAACAACTACTATTAACGTTTTAATGTTGCGCTTCTCGGCTGCTCATCGCCTCGGTCACCAGCTCCTGTGCTTTCCAACACACTTAGATACCCAATAATTCTTACTTTGCATATGCTTAATCTTGTGTATCTGTTTTATGCAGATTCCTTGTCTTGGGTTATATTCTTTATGTTTTATCTTATAATTCTGTCCGGGGTTCTGTATATGGCTTCTGAAATTGGACCAATAAAGTTCTACACCTGTGAAGAAGTAGGGGATTTTGATTCCAGACGGATGCAACATTGCCTGAATCTTACCACATTTTTCATTGTTGCTGCTAGGGAAGTTTTCAGTCTCATCTTAGAAGACATCGGTTTCATTGCGTTTTGCATAAGAGTGTTGGGCCTTATTTTGAGATAATTCTTTGAAGTTACTCAAAAATTTCCAAATTTTTCACAATTTATCTTTTTATTTTTGCAATAACCCTTTTAGCAGACTTTCACATTCTTTCATACGATTTGCTTCTGCTAGGTGGTTCGTCGCATGGTTCACTGTTGTCAATACCTGGGACTGGTAGGTGAAGCTGTTATATTATGTCAATTCGTTCCAAACGGAATTTTACTTAACTCAGCTATTCGTCTAATTCGTGGTCTACCGGTGTTTCCATGTTCTGATGGCCTTCACATGGTTCAACAATCGCCACAATTGAGCGACTTAACTTCCTCCTGTTCTACTGCCTGTCCGTCTCCAGCTGCATCTGCGACTATTGGAAGTGGTGCAATCAGCTCCATCGGCCTATCTCTGCCTTCGATGCAATCAGGTCCTCCTACTGGTACTTCTCTGTCCGGAGGAAGTGGTTCTGGACCTGCTATGGCTAACTCTACCGGTATCCTTGCCACATGTAATGAAACGAATGGAGAAGTTACCTGCAGCAATACTCCTATCGGTTCTAGTTATTTGCTGTCCCCTGTTGCAGCATCTACAGTC